TAGAATTGGGCTGTTAGAACCATTAGATGGTAAACGTTGTGTTCTTGAAGCGCCCTGTGGATGTGTTACAAGACTCTCCTGTGTCTTTCTCTTAGTACACCTGCGTTTTTAAACTATTTAGGCTGGTCCTGCTGAGAGGAAGTGCATGCAACTGGTGTTTTGCAGCAGCTGAAAGATAGCTAGGTCAAGTGAGGATCCCAAATTGCCCAAGAAGCAGAGCCAGACACATTTGACAACACTCCCATTTCCCATTCTTGTCCTGGCAGCTGATTGGATTACTTGCTTTCCGTACCCCACTGTAGTCTGCAAGATAAACTCTGAAGGTATGAGGGGATTGGCTGAGCTTCCCTGATGTCAGAGAAGGGAGGGGCAGGCAGAAATACAATGCTTGCTGAATTGCTCTGGTTCTAGATCAGGGGTCCCAAGCTTTATGAGTCTGTGGACACCTTTGGAATTTTGAGAGGGGGTGGTGAGTGCCACCACAAAATGGCTGCCAAAGGAGGCGGGCCCATGCACAATACCTGCCTCTTCACTTGGCAAAAGAATCACAGAAGGGAGAATAAGAAGGAATGAAGGAAATTCCAGCAAGAAGGAAGGGAGAAAGGGGAGTAAAAAGAAGGAAAGCCTGAAGGGCGTATGAAACCACAAGCATGGATGCTTAGTCAGCTTCCAGATCTTCCTATGGCTGTGGTTCCTGTCTCAACAGTGGAAAATCCTTTCACTTTAATTAGGGCAATAACAAGCCCTGCCCATAAATGCCCCATCCACTTCCTTAAAAGTTTGGTGGGCACAAGGGGAAGTACTGGTGGGAGCCAGGGTGCCGACAGGCACCATGTTGGTGGGGAAGCTTGTTCTAGAGATACAGGCAGGCACCCAGAAGGAGAAGGCAGGAACAGGCCTTCAGAGGGCCTTGGGCAGGGAGGACCAGAGAGGGTGGGCTAAAGTGTAGGGATTCTATGAGGTTTCAAAGGCTGACTGTTTAAGCCTGAAAATCCCTAGTTAAATTTTATTTCTCCTTTCTGCAAACTGTACCTCTCAGACTCATTTTTTGTGTAATCTGGTTCCCTGACTGAAATGGTCGCATAAAAATGTGTGCATTTTTAATATTTTTGCATCGTTTCGGCATATCAGTGCTGTAAAACACAGAGAAGGGGTAAAAAAACTGCCATCAAAGAAATCAGGAAGTCCTACTGCAAAAAATGGGTGAAACAAAAAGGGTCACAACAACAATATATTGGGAAGCAAATTCAGGAAGGTTTGGCCCGCTTCACCTTTGATTCCGTTGGTTGTTCCATCCTGGACTTTTACTGCTGGCTTTGAGACTTGTTTTAGATTGTGACATTAATTTATTTTAAACTTTAAGCTGCTGTTTATTAACGCTGCTTTATCACTATTGGCAGGGGTCGTTTAGTAGAAAAAGAGCTAGGGGAACTCATTAGCATATGCCACACCCCCTGACATCACCGGAAGTGTGTCATAAGGCCACACCCCCTGACATCACCGGACGTGTGTCATAAGGCCACACACTCCGCCCCCAACGGTCCCGGCCGCTGCC